TGCGTTCTTATGCACAATGACTGAATAAATAAATAAACAAATCACAAATAACGAAAATAAAAAAGAATACAAACAACGAAACGTTACCAAAATATGAAGTTGAGTCAAGTGCGACTACCGGTCTCGATGATACTCCGCTCATATGGTAAACTTGAGGCATAGCTGAGTTGGTCGTAACCGCCGCACGACTATACGAACGGCGTTGAATAGGTGATGGAGAGGATTGACGATTAGCATAACGTGATGACAGCCTTGGGGTATGAGACATTGACATTCTTTTATTGGGAGGTGATTGAGCTGTATAGGTTCTGGACAGAGTGGTGGCCTGAGACTGCGAGGCGTATCGCTGTGGTGGTGTGGGCGATGGCGATAACGAAAGCCTTCTTTTGACAATTCTTCGACCACTCCTCGATATGGTCGCTGTGCCTGATGCATTTCCATCGGATGCGATTTCTAGCGCTGATTTGTCCAGTTGAGCGACGACATTCTGACGTTTCACTCTGGCCGATGAGGGTCTTCTGGGGCCGTTCTGCATAGAGCACGATACCGATTCGTCATTACTTGCGTCACTATCGTTATTGTCATATTCGTTGTCATTCATCTCATCGTCATCCTCATTCATGTCCTCGTCTGCATCGTTGTCGTTATCGCCGACCACATCGATCACTTTCAGAGTTGGCTCTTTCTTGATTTTAATAGTTGTCGAATCCATTGAAGACGACGTGCTCAAATTGGCATCGCGAAGCGCCTCACGTTTCGCTTGCAATTTAGCTCTTAAAGTTGTAAAAAATAAATCAATATGAATGAATGAGCATATTGGCATGTGTTTGCTAAAAATGATATATCATTGTGACAAACAAACAATAATAAACCACATCAAATTTCAACGTTGATATGAGAGCATACTAATAAAACGAATATACAACCAAACTAAATGGCTGCATAAATTCATCGAAAGATATTAGTTCATCAAAGGAACTATCACTAAAAATAATGATCGCCAACAAAAATGAACTTTTCAGATTGTTTTGTACGAGGTCTATGCGATGTGTCAACCACAGAATCACTAGGCGCCGGTCTGATAGCAATCGGTCTCGGAAGTGCATCACTGCCCTCTGAATTCATCGAACCATTCGCCCCATCACCGTTCAACGATGAACTTTTGATCTACAATCAACAGATTACAAACAGAATTATTCGAGCGGCTGCTTAATCCACGTTTCAAGAGTATTTCAGTAGCAAAAATTAGCGACATAAATGTGCTGATAATTAATGAGACGAGCAAACCTTGGATGGTTCGAGCCAATTGTATTTTCGTTTTGCGGGTGACTTTTCTTGTCGAATGAAATGCAGCATGTTGAAGAAGTACCATTTGGATTGCGGTGGTGTAAGACCAGCCGCACGGGCACGATCGTTACGACGTCTGATGTGATTGTAGTAATCAGTCATGTTCTTCCATGCCATCTTCACCATATCGCCTAAATAACACCGTCCAATCTTTCAGCATTTACTAGATCCGCATGCAACGCTTCACTTACAAATTTCGTAATTTTTAAGTAATTTTCGTTGATCTTTCCAACAGATCAACGGAACTGCTTTAGTAAAATTCTTTTCAAACTTCAGTTGCACACATAAGAACTGCTATTTGGAACATAAATATTTTCCAGTTGCAATGAAAACAAACTTGAGAATTGCACTTTTTCATTGCTCAGTGCTTTCGCAACCTCTTCAAATGCAACCCAACGAGCCGGTACATCGGTGTATCTCGGATCAGATGGCTGAAATTCACAGTAAAAAATACACTGGAAGAATCAAACATTGTAAGAATCCGGCTCATTGCATGCTCTTAAAACTCAGAGTTCGTCTTGTAATTGAGCTAAACGATGTTTAGTAAGTAACGATAATTGCCGACTAAAGAAGACAGATTTTGTACAGATCATAATAAGTTTCTGAGAATCTGGCTCGAAATTGATCACCCTTGAGAAGACAACAACAATGAAGGAAATCACCTTCCAAATCAGTGGACGTTGATAAATCTCTTGAATGAGCAATGTTTTAAGCGTGTCGGTCATACCAAACATAGACATCTTGGTGGACTGAGATCCTGAAAATAAAATTTAGTTGATGTGTGTATTCGTTGTTATTCATCAAATTCGCATTCCAGTGGTTCCTTCTAAGAATTCGGCATACACTACTCTAATTCAAATGGCATGATTGCAGCTCATAGAGTTATTTATTGAGAAAGTTTTTGGTAATTTGGCAGTTAATTTTGCTGAAACGTTAACAGTTAACAACTGATGAGTGTCGTCGGTGATTCAGAAAGCGCACGTCTGATGCAGTAAAATAACTGGTAAAAGAGAAAAAATGATAGTAGTTGATGACATCGAGATTACGTAAATGATAAACGATGAGATAAAGCAGCACTGAACGCCTGAGTGGATCGGATATAGAAGCGCACTGGAATTGCGGCTCGTCGTGTGCTAGCGATCAGTAAAAGAGCGAAATTCGCACGCATGCCAAGTAATAACGACGAGTGATGGTAATATCGCCACAACATAAGCCATTCCCAAGACGTCGATGACAATCCACTAATTTAACACCTCTTTCAGAGCTAAATCAACCTTAAGAGATTGAATAAATTTGATACGGGAAACAGACGATTGATTTGAGATTCCATTCAATCCAATGACACGAAACTGCAGGTTCAGATGAATT